CCCCCCCCCCCCCCACCCGAATCTAACAAGTCGTCGCGATGATCGTCGATGTCGTCTGACGTTGCCACACCGTCGATGCAGTCCCTGACGTCTCCTCTGCCACTACTGTCGCGTCCCACCGATGTCGCCCACGCCTCTGCCCCCCACGGAACCCGGCCTGTCCGCCTGTCTTGGCGCGGAGAACGAAGTCGGCCGTGTTCGGCCGTGTTCGGCCGTGTTCGGCCGCGGTCGGGCACTAAAATGGTCGCGCGCTGGAAAAGGCCGCGCGTGGTGATGGTGACGGCCGTCGGGCTGGCACTGGCCGATGTCGAGGCGTTGTCCCGCCTGGTCGCGCGGCGCGCTGCCAACTGCGCACCAAGAAGAAGAAGAAGAAGAAGAAGAAGAAGAAGAAGAAGAAGAAGATCTCTCTCTCTCTCTCTCTCTCTCTCTCTTTCAACGATCTCTCTCTCAACGATCTCTCTCTCTCTTTCTCTCTCTTAACGATCTCTCTCTCTCTCTCTCTCTCTCTCTCTCTCTCTCTCTCTCTCTCTCTCTCTCTCTCTCTCTCTCTCAGCGTGCGAGCAGGCAGTTCGGCAACCTAACGGCAACAGCAATAACTGTTGCCGTTTGAGATAAATGGCAGCATTTATCTGAAACGGCAACAGTTTTGCCGTGGCCTGGGCCTGGACCCACCGCCCTCCTCACACTGCCCAGTGCCCACACGGTGCCCCTCACCCGCTGGCACCGAAACAGGGACAAAACGGCCTACCGGACCCTTTTTTTTTTTTTTTTAGTTTTTTTTTTTTTTCAGCACCGCGCGGAAGGTCTGACACCCAAAAAAAAAATATGGGCATGTAGGGTTTTTTTAGCCCTACACGCTCATATTTTTTTTTTTTTTTTTGCACGTTAAAAGTGGGGAAAAAAAATAATGTACGGAACTTTGCTGGTCGGCCCAGGCCAAACCGGGCCGATTCGGTCATCGGCCTAGGCCGCGGCCGGTTCGGACCCCCCGACCGCGGCCACGCGTGCAACATAGATGATCACCATGTTATTCTCATGCATGTCGTTTCTTTTATAGCAAGCGTCGCACAACATCACCCAACATATCTCAAGGGGCACCCACACTCATGTATTTCACAGAGTACCATATCAGAAGGTGACGCACAGCTCTCGTTAATTCACTGTGCAAGACATCACTGTATGCTAAGCTTGCTTATCAGACAAACATATCTCACCCTTACTCGTCTGAGAACCAATGAAGAAAACGAAAAACACATACCTAGTCTCCGTCAAGCAGAAATCTAATGCGAAGGTAAGCAATTTTCTTAAGCACTCTCGCCTTTTTTCCCATCAGTTAGTAAGGGTGAGTTTAATCAGTCCGCCCAGTCCATCAATCCAAAAGGGATTCAACTGATTTCGACCAATCTAACTTGGACGGCCCATATTATTACTGGTTACTTGGAGAAAAAAACATAGTAAGAAAAATACCATAGCTTTTTCTCCAAACCGAATGTTTATAACATGCTCTCTTTTGATTCACTCGGTTCACTGAGGAGGTAGGCCGAACTACTCCAAGTGACAATTGCTTAGTACGGATTAAGATAGAAGATGAAAACAAAGTGGAATAAGCTGGTTTCTACAGAGGTTGCAGTGTCGGGGCAAATACCCTAACAATGGTCCTTGCCAGGGATTTTAAACATTCGACACTGTCTGATTTATTTTTGTTGAAATGAAGGACTTGATGAGACCGACGTTACTTGAAGTTCATTCAGACCAACTTATGATTGAGAGACTGAAACTTTTCTTAACTTTAGTTCAGACGCTTGTAGCGTCTGAGAGTAATGGCGGTGGTTGGCGGTTTCTCGTAGGTCACAGAGGTGTGCGGACATGGGAATGCTAGAGCCAAACCTATTCTATCAAAATAATGATGCGCGACTGCTAAGCCACGTGATTGAGGGCCTAGGTATGCTAGAAAGAGGGACGCGCTGGGTATGGGGCCACGACGCGGTGTCGGGCGGCTCAAGCCTATCACCGTCCTTTACTTGCTCTGAAAAAGCGAGCCTTAAAAACTAAAATTCAATTTCTGAGTCTGTTCGACCGGATTGAAGTTCGTGATTGGAGCCGAGAAGTGAGATTTATTATTTGAAGACGGACACTGAATGTCCGGACTGGCATACGGAAGGTGAGACAAATAACTAAACGAGGATTCTCATGAGATAACTAACCCTTATATTTATGATAATCCAGTGAACGGACATGTAGTAAGAGATGAAACCTAGGTTGATAATGGAGTCAGAAAGTTTGTCTGGATCATGTTCAGGGTATAAAGTTGGTCCTAGAGAGACTTCAGAAGTATAACTTGATTGTCAGTGAACCAAATTCTCTTCTCTTTCAAGCAGAGGTAACCATCTTAGGCTTTAGATGTTTCTTTAAGGGTAGGAGTCCCGATCCTAGAAAAATAGATAAAATCTTGAACTGGTCTCTGCCTCTCAAGCGAGTGACAGGCATTAGAAGCTTCTTGGATGTCTACAGATTCAGGAAGATTTTCATTCCTCTTTTTGCTACCCTTGCAGAGCCTCTAAGGGAAATGTTTAGATAAGGGGTTGACTTCTCTTAGACAGAGAAAAAACAGATTGCTACAGAAACTCTATAAGAAAAGTTGAAAGATTGAGGAGTGGTGTTGAGAGTGTTTTACTATGATAATGAAGAGGGAAGACCCTTCATCATCGAGGATGATGGGGGACCAGTAGCTCTTGGCGGTGTACTTATTCAAAGAGATGTGAATGGAAAAGAAAGACCTTTAAGGTTTGAAAGCAGAACTCTCAACTCCACAAGAACAGTTTACACCCAATTTAGGAAGGAGCTACTGACAATCATCCACGGCCTTGGGTGATTAAGACGTTACGTACTTAGGAGGAGATTCATTCTTAGGATTGATGCATCTGTTGTGATTGATACTATTAAAAAATATTAAGAAGTAGATATGAAAGTAAGCAGATGGATTGTCTTCATCTGGACTTTTTATTTAAGTGGGAGAAGATTCCAATAGAGAAAAATCGAGCAGATGGTCTAGGTCGAATTCAGTGGAGAACAGAAGAAGATAAAGATATCGTTGTAACAACTGAGGAGTCTGCGTACGTTGATAACTTCCTGAATGAAGAGGATGATGAAGATTATAAAGTTCCAAGTTTCTATAAGTGGAGAGTTTATGGCCTGAAGAAAAATACAGTTGGGGAGAAGTCCCTGATGCATATGGCCTGAAGAAAAATACAGTTGGGGAGAAGTCCCTGATGCATATATTTATGAGTTAGTTTTTGAAGAAGGAGAACAAAACGATTGGTATGTCAGAGTCAACACAACAGTTGTGGTTGTCCACGAAGTGGGAGAAACCTTAGGAACCAAAAGATGAAGAAGAGGCCGAAAAAAAAGAAGAAGATAATTTATTTATCTTTGATGAATATGATGAGAGTTATTAATAGATTGAGAAGAGAATGGAAAGAGAAAAGATTAAGAAATCTTACTGCAGTAACTCAAGGAAAAAAATAAGACTAAAGAGAGGTCACATTTTCGTAGATGACAACGGAGGATCGTCTCCATTAAGGGTGGTCTGTGGGAAAAAAACACAAACTATAAATAATCGTTGCTTTACACGAGGAGGTTGTTGGTGAACATAGAGCTGCTGAAGCAATCTACTCTAAGACGGTGAAACCTTATTTTTTGTCTGGTATGAAATACATGGTTTTCAAGTTTTGTAAATCATATGTATTGTGTCAGAAGAGGTCCACAACAATAATGATTGAGTCTTTGTTTCCCACTATCCTGATAGAACCCGACAGCCGAGTTCACTTGGATTTCATCACCATGTCTCTAGGCAAGGGTGGGATGGGATACATACTGAACATGAGAGATAATTTATTTGGATATGTTGAGGCAAAAACTCTGAAAAAGAAAACACTCGAGCAAGTGGCTGACTGGATAGAGGAAATCTATCTCACATATTTTTTCATTAGAGAGTTTGTTTCAAACAAAGAATCTGAATTCATAAATGAGATTGTAAGAAGAACCACTCTCAGACAGGGTGTCTGAATTCGATATGTGACGACTTACCATCATCAAGCAAATGGTCCAGTCGAGAGAGGTCATAAAACTCTATAAGATTCATTGGCAAAATGGTGTGAAGGGAAACTCAGTAGCTGACAAAAAGTATTAAGAGTTGCAGTTTATGATGAGAACATCATCGTCAAGAAAACCACTGACTATGCTTCGTTCACTCTGTGGTATCGTCAGTATGCTATCTTGCCCATTGAAAGCATAGTCAAGACATGGTCCGAGCCAAGAGAGTGAAAGAGAGTATTCTCTTTCAGAGCTTCTTCAGATCAGAGCGCGACAAATATCAGAAGTTTATCAGAAAGTAATGTATGTTGCAAAAAGAATGTCAATCAGAGATTATCAGATCAAGAGAGGTCGAACAAGAAGAGGTACAAACGAAAAGAGAAATTAAAATTTGGTGACATTGTCCTTCTTTTTTACAATTCTTTCGAGACTAAGTGGACCAAATGGTTGGAGTCCAAATGACTCGGTCCCTACAGAATTACAGGTGAAGCAGAAGACACGGTTTATAAGATATCCGAGATTGATGATTCAAGAGTT